TATCTATAGAGAGAATTTACCCTTACTACCTGTGTCGGGATATCGGGATCAGGAGGTTCTTCAGTGAATAAAGAATTGAGATCATACACTTCTTCAACAGGCGGTAAATTAAGACCATGTATTTCTTCAATAGGAGGTAAATTCTTAACGTCTTCAGCTTTAATACCTTTTTCTTTCATAGATTTCTTTGCCTCTTGCATATCTTCAGGACTGAGAAATAGAACACGTCTCTTCTTCGGAGTTGGTTTAGGAATAGGCTCAGTAATTGGCTCAGGAGCTGGCTCGGGAGGTGGCTCAGGAGGTGCCCAATTATTTTCATTTATCAACATATTATTCAATAGAATTTTAGCTTCATCCGGTGTTCTTTCCCTGAAAAGAGAACCAGCACAACTATCCAGGTAATCTCTGGAAGCATCGGTTAGTCCATTATAAAAGATATCAAGTATTTCAGGTTTCTTAAGAGGATGATCAGGCAAAGCATTAAGTAACTTGAGAAGCCTCCCCCAAGCTTGTGGGAGACTCTCTTCTTCAATTTGCACGAAGTTGTATATTTCCCTCAAAGCAGCTTGTTTCTTATGAGCAGGGAAATATTTAGCAAAGAACTAATAAATCATATCATGGATTATACGCACACAACCAGGATCAAGAGATTTAAACCATATCTTAGCATCACCCTTCAACGAGAACGGAAATATTTTGAGTAAATAAAGGTAGCGCGATCTCTCATCATTAGTAAACAGGGCAACTATATCATTTAACTTAGTAAGATGTGCCACAACAATTTCAGATTCATAGCCATAAAAAGGATCAGATTCAACTAAAGTAATTATATCAGGATCAACGGAGAATTCATAGTCCTTATCAGGAACACAGATAGGTGAAGTAGCAAAAGCAGGGTCATGTCTCATCCTATCTCTAAGAGATTCTTTACTCCATTTAACTAGCAACCTCTTAAGTTCATATCTATCCTGGCAGGCAAAAATAGCTGCAGAAGATTCCGCATCAAAAAGATAACCCTCAGGAATAGCAGGCATATTTTCATCATCACTTTCATCATTGTATTCAGTTTCAATAATTTCTCTTTCTCTAGACCTAGAAATTTGTTCATCTAGAAATTCACCAAGGGGCACAGTAGTATCAAGTATAGAAGTAGTTTCATCATAAATATCATGCATAGTAGAAGTGGCATCATCAATAACATGCGACATATCGGAATGAATAGCAGAAGCAGGTTTAGGTGTCGCTAGCTTACTCATAACAGAAGGTGAATCAAGTGCAGAGCTAGATGGCAGTTCCTTACCTCCCCTCGTAGTTGAGGGATAAATTGTTGTCTTAGCATCTTTCAAGTTCTTCATAGTGTCCAGCAGATATAAATCCCAAGTGACTCACAGAATAGAGCTATGATCCCTGGCAACGGCGCCAGAAAAAGGTCTTGATAACCCATAAGTATAGGGGATCGCAACAGTTTTCGAGGGTAGAGTATTCAACCCAAATTTATTGATTCGACACAAGGGGAGCCAAAGAATATTCTCAAGTATTAGCAGCTGAGTTGTCAATTCAACCACACCTGGAAACTTAATATCTGCAGCAAAATGTTTAGTAGCAAAGTAATATGATAGTGATGGTAACGGTAACAAAAGTAAAGATAGCAAAAGTAATGTTTTTGGTATTTTTGTAGTGATTGTAACAGTAGCAACGGAAAACTAAATAAGCGAGAACCAGTATATGGAAAGCTCGTAGGCACCGGATCAGTGATGGATAATTATGCCGGATGCGGTTCGTCATGTAACAGTTATAACATAGGATGACACAGAACTAGCTCCAGTTCATCAATGTAATGTAGGCATGTATTCCGAATATATCATACGTGCTTATGGAAAATAACTTGCATGACATCTTTTGTCCTACCCTCCCGTGGCAGAGGGGTCCTATTGGAAACTAAGGGATATTAAGGCCTCCTTTTAATAGAGAACCGGAACAAAGCATTAGCACATAGTGAATACATGAACTCCTCAAACTATGGTCATAACCGGGAGTGGTCCCGATTATTGTCACTTCGGGGTTGTCGGATCATAACACATAGTAGGTGACTATAGACTTGCAAGATAGGATCAAGAACACACATATATTCATGAAAACATAATAGGTTCAGATCTGAAATCATGGCACTCGGGCCCTAGTGACAAGCATTAAGCAAAGCAAAGTTATAGCAACATCAATATCAGAACATAGTGGATATTAGGGATCAAACCCTAACAAAACTAACTCGATTACATGATAAATCTCATCCAACCCATTACCGTCCAGCAAGCCTACGATGGAATTACTCACGCACGGCGGTGAGCATCATGAAATTGGTGATGGAGGATGGTTGATGATGACGACAGCGACGAATCCCCCTCTCTGGAGCCCCGAACGGACTCCAGATCAGCCCTCCCGAGAGAGATTAGGGCTTGGCGGCGGCTCCGTGTCGTAAAATGCGATGATTCTTTTTCTCTGATTTTTTCTCCCCGAAAGCCAATATATGGAGCTGGAGTTGGCGTCGGATTGGTCTCCAGGGGGCCCACGAGGTAGGGGGGGCGCCCAGGAGGGGGGGCGCGCCCCCCACCCTCGTGGACAGGGTGTGGGCCCCCTGGTCTTCATCTTTGGCGAGGTTTTTTTATTATTTATTCTAAGGTATTCCGTGGAGTTTCAGGTCATTCGGAGAACTTTTGTTTTCTGCACATAAAACAATACCATGGCAATTCTGCTGAAAACAGCGTCAGTCCGGGTTAGTTCCATTCAAATCATACAAGTTAGAGTCCAAAACAAGGGCAAAAGTGTTTGGAAAAGTAGATACGACGGAGACGTATCAGTAGAGATGTCCGATGCTTCTTAGGACTGGTCAATGGCCAAACATCTTTCCCTGACTTCGGGTGTGTCATAAAGGGTAACTGCACCTCCTCCTCGTATTTCATAAGAAACAGTGCAGAGTGCCCAATTGATTCCTTGCCCTTTCCATACACACAATCATCACACAAATGTCATCCTCTCCACAGTAGCAACAATACCTTTGCCCGCATATCCTCCGATAGCTTGTTAACCAGCAATTGCAACCAGTCCGGACCAGTGTATCTGAAGGACTCTTCAGGGGGCAACTCCCATTCTTTCCTCATTTGATGTCTCAGTGCTCTGCTTTTTGTACAGGAAACCACTGCATGGAACTTGTCTTCCTCGCCACAGCCGCGGATACTGTGATCAAGCATGTCATCAAGTTACTGGATGTAGCCCACACATGATCTACCACGGCATCCTCCCTATCCAACTCCGGGCCAACCCGTTGTGGTGCTATGAGCCCGAGGATGAGGGGACTGTGCGGAACTTCTTCCAAACCAACCTTGAAGGGATGTGGACGGCACTCTTCAAGCCGTCCAAGAATAGCTTCCTCGAAGACGAAGGAGACGTCAGTTATGTTGCCAACAACCAGCGATTCGGGGTATGTAATAGTTTTACCAATGTTCTTATTCCTTTGATATCTTTCACGCTTTTGATGAAGTAATGGGCCTGATCACCAGAAATGGCACAACAAGGCCCAGAAGATAAAATCACTGGAGCCCTTTCCTTAGGAGGCCGCCCCCCTGAGCTCGAAGCCCTTCTGGCTGACGAGCCTTATTAGGCTCCCATAAAGGAGCCAAAGAAGAAGGAGGGCCAGCGTATCCGGAGGGCCACTTTGGAAGCTAGGTTCAAAAGCAACCCCGTCCCCTCCATGGACGATGAGGAGGGATAGGGGGAAAAGGAAGAGGGCGAGGCGTCCTCTCCTAAGAGGAAGGAGGGGCATTTGAGGATGCCAAGGAAGATGAGCCTCCTAGTCCCCGTTCAAGAGGCTTCAGAAAGCCCACACTGTCCAGCCTAGCCGATCCCGGGCCAACACTGAGGTCCTCTCCAGCTCTTCCGAGGACATGCTTCCTCCGCCACACACAGAGAAGCTGTAGCCGAAGAGGTAACCTGATTGTAACTCCTATTCATAACAGGTCGTTATTTGATATGCATTTTAATTTGCCGTGATGATTGCTTTTACAGCCCGCAACGCCGCCTTCCAGGCAAGAGGTCGGACAATGACCTCCCTCCCTCTGAGCTAGCTGAGAGCTCTTCGGGTGTGCTCGTGCATACCTCTCCTGCCTGTGATGAGCTCGGGAGGTGTCTTCACATCGGGTTGCTCATGTGCCGAACACAGTGAGTAGGGCCGGTTGCTCCTGTGCCCTTGATACATCTCTATCGTATCTACTTTCTCAAACACATTTGCTCTTGTTTTAGACTCTAATTTGCATGATTTGAATTAAACTAATCCGGATTGACGCTATTTTCAACAGAACTACCATGGTGTTATTTTTATGCAGAAATAGAAGTTCTTGAAATTGACTGAAAATTTACGAAGAATTTTTTCTGAAATTAATAAAAATATTGGCGGATAAATCTACTGGAGGGGCCACCACAGAGCCACAAGCTCAGGTGGCGCGCCCCTGTGGGCCCCTCGAGCCTCAGTTTGCCCTGTGAGGTGGAATATGTCTTAAATGATTGATAAATTTCTTCAGGGTGCGCAACGATCGTGAGGTTTCTTCATTTTTGTTGATCCGTCGTTGTCGACATTTGTTTCTTTTGTATTTTCTCTTTCTTCTCTTGGGAGCGATTGTGCTGCTTTCGCCCCAGCATCTACCGTTGACTCTATCGGGTGTTTACTATATTAATATAGCGGGGCGCAAGTTTGTTTCAAGAGGTATTTTTTCTTGTTCCTAAAAAGATCGATGTATTTTTCTTGAAAAAATTGAAAGGGATCCATCCCCAAAATATACAAGAAACGGTAGAAAAACTCCTCAGTTTATCTCAACCAACTCACCGCGCCTCTGCTCCCATCACCTGACAGGCGGGCCCTGCCAGCCGAGCGCGCCGCCCAAAGCTTCAAACATAACCGCCGCCACCGCCGCCCAACAGCCCACCGTAGTTTCTAGAAACCCCGACCGGAGATGAGCGGGAGAGGGGGAGGGGAGAGAGGAGAGGGAGGAAATCCAGCGCGCCGGCCGCCGTGGGCTCCCTGGCTCGCGCACATGGCGAACGGGACCGGATCTCTGGGTCTCGGCGTCGACGACGGCCTCGGGGAGACCTCGTCCCCGCTCCCCTCCGCCGCGCCCGTCGACGAGGTCCCCGGCGCGACCGCCTTCCCGCTTCCCCCCGCCACGCCCGTCGACGAGGTCCCCGGCGCGACCGCGTCCCTGCTTACCTCCGCCGCGCCCGTCGACGAGGGCCTCGGCGCGACCCCGGCTCCGCTTCGCTCTGCCGCGCCCGCGTCTCCGCTTCGCCCCACCGCGCCCGCGCCCGCTTCCGGGTGTGCCGCCCACACCCGATGGGAGCGCCGGCCGCCATGGGCTCCCAGGGTCGCGCACGGACAGCGTGGCGAACGGGGGGGATTCTGGATCCCAAGCTCGGGGTGTCGGCGTCTCCGAGGGCCTCGGCGCGACCTCCTCGCCACCTCGCTCGGCCGCGCCCCCGTCGCGTGTGCCCCTCGCGCCCGATGCGAGCGGCCGCGGCGCGGGAGGAGGCGTCCGCGACATCTGCAATGAGGTCGTGGAGCGGCTCGTCGCCGGTGGCCGCCTGGACCCGGGGGCGAACGACGTTCTGCTCCGCACCTTGCTCGAGCAGCATCTCGGCCGGTTTCTTGACAGGTGCGTTCTTGTTTTTCATGGGAAACCATGCTTATTCTGATTTGAGAATAGAAATTGTGAGAGCCAACTACCATGACATAGATGTTTGCCTGATAGGGGGTATTGTGTCAGATTATGTGCGCAGTAATGATGCTGTCCTGAAAATAAGATATCTACTAGTTTGAGTACCAGTGGAACAAGCTGCTGTCCTGAAAATAAGATTGAAATACAGATCATACGCAGCAAAAATAAGAACATCTTTTTATCCGAACAGAACAAAAAACAACATGCAGTATAGAATTCGCTACTTTTATTCTATGGAAAGCAATCTCCTACTCCTAGTGTTCTATCATAGTACAATCTCCTAGTGTTTCTTGGTGATGATTTTGACTGAATAATGTGTTAGGACTCATTCAAGCCAAACAAGAAGACGTGGTAGCATTAGGAGACTGCAGAATATCAAGACGAGGAAACGATCTGAGAAGCTCAAAGAAGAGAAGATGATGGAATCATTCAAGGCAATCTTATCGGATTCAATCTCATTTCTGTTTCCAACAATGGTAGCAGTCTTCGCAAGCAACTTCTCTTTCGGAGAATACGAGAAATGCTTACTGATCTTGTTGTGTGCTCTTCGGGGACTCCTCATTCTGCTTGCAATGGTGCTGTCCCATGGGGTTGATGATGGACAAGGAAGGACGGTTGTCGTGTCCCATCTCACGTTGGGGGCTGTTATATACGTATTTGGTATGCTTGTGTACTGTCTGTACAAGTTCTTTCCTGAAGGGTCTGGCCAGGTCATGGCCTTGTACGGTGGTGTTGCTCATTTTGTCTTTGGAGCAGTAGTGCTTACAGTTCTGTGGGTGACTTTGTTCAAGGTTAGTCCGTGAATTGTTGGTGCTTGTAGATGGAGGGACCTGTAAAGTGTTGCACCATGCAAACTTGTAGATGCACCATGCAACTATTGTCAAACTTTAAAACATCAGTATATTGTTGGTGCTTGGCATTTGGTCAAGATGATCAATCCTGGATCCAATTTTCCTCTCGGGTGGTTCACTTGGGAAGGTTCTTAAACTGGGAAACTTGCGGATCAAAAATATCAAAGGAGATAACACTTCCTTCACAAAGTGGTATTTTGGGCTGAAAGGGTTTTTGGATGATTTACTCAAAACAGAGCAAGGCATGATTATTTCTTAGTGGATATATGCAATATATCATAGTAGGAGATCCATGAATATTTTCAGTATTTTATAAGCAACAGAGAAGGTAGTTGCTTCATGAGGGTCATTATATTGACATTTCTGAAAATAGGAAAAATGTATTTTCCCAACTCCAAGGGAGCTGGGATATTTTATGGGATGATCATGTGGGGAAAAATGACAGGTCCCCAAAGTTTCATAAATTTTGGATGCAGGGAAATATACTTTGAATTTTTATGAGGCAATAATGGACATAAAAGGTATGTTCAAAATATGGAAATATTGCATAATGCCCTAGCAATATTTTTTTGGAGGGGTTCCTATATATCATATAGGCTATGATCCAAATTTTAGAATCAAGGGAGCAAAGGAAAATAAGCTTCATTTGAAATGGCTAGGGATCAATCAAAGTTTAATATGGTGGCGTTGGAGTTTTAGAAACAAAACCCTAAGAAATTGTTTTGGGGCTCAAGGTCATTTGAGAGAGTTCATGGTTCCGCGGGAGAGACCTTGGCAAGATACCAATTCATGCACCAAAGATTCAAACAAAATCCAAGACAGTCAATGCAAATGAAAAAGAAAAGGCTGGGAGGTTGATTCACAAGCCAAATTTTATCAACTGATGTTTGATCTGTGATAACGGCTTGGAAGAATATAGCT